TGGGTCACAGCTGTAGCAGGTTTCTACAATCATGGCGTCGAAAAAGACAAAGCCCACCGCCGCTGGTGACGACGTCGACATCGACGAGCTGTTGTCTGGCCTTGACCGCGATAAGAAGCCCAAGAAGACAACAAAGTCTAAGCCGACCTCTGCCGCATCCAAGGCACTTGCCGATCAGGATATTCTCGCCGACCTTGAATCGGAACTGGCTGAGCAACCTTCACGACCTCATACTCCCCGCCTCAAGGATGCCACCCGCCGTTCCACAGCAACACCCCCCGCTGGCGACCCTCGCAAGTCTACCGATAGTGCACGCAGCCTGAAAGCAACATTCACACCAAGCGCCACGAGCTCAGAACTTTACGAGAACGAGAAGAAGCCAACATCCGAGCCTGTCCAGGAAGAGCCTGCCCCCCAAGCCTCTGGTGGAGGATGGTGGGGTGGCATTTTATCTACGGCCAGTGCTGCTATGAAGCAGGCCGAAGCCGCTGTCTCACAAATTCAACAAAATGAAGAGGCCAAGAAGTGGGCAGATCAGGTCAAGGGTATCAGGGGACTTGATGTCAACACTCTCCGAACCTATGGTATGTTTGAATTGTTACCGGATTATGAGTCTAGCTAATTAAGAGTTTAGGTGATGAACTCCGACACCGTGCTCTCCCTACCTTCACCAACATCCTTCACACGCTTGCACCACCTATCAGTTCCCATGAACGACTTCTCATTCATATCACCCACGATCTTGTCGGCTACCCATCACTCGACCCTCTGATTCATAACGTCTTTGGCCATGTGATGGCGCAGGTCGAAGGCGGTGACCTTCTGGTCATCCAGCGTGGCCAGGAGAGCCACTCTCGACGTAGTACCGATAGTATTACTGGATGGCACGACGGGCCTTGGTGGAGACAAACTGATACGCCCCGTGAGCTCGGATTGATCAAGGGTTTGCCTGAAGGAACCAAACTTTGCCGCGCCAATGCCGAATCGCATGCGAACGAATACTTTTCTGCCAATGGTGGTGTCGAAACAGCCAAGCACAAAGCCACCGAAGATGTGAGCGAGACCAACCCTGTCAGAACCTCGGATCTGTTCCTGGCTGTCCAGGCAATTTCAGTGGATGAGGACAAGAACCTGTTCGCTCGCACGGCTTCTGCAGAGAAAGAGAAGGACTCTTCTGGTGTCGAGGATCAGGATGAAAACGAGGAGCTCATTTGTTTCGCTGTTTTCATCCTGGATCCTGTTCATGACATTGAATTTTACACCGTCAGCCAGTCTGTTCCTGCTCGATGGGTTCAGTGGCTCGATACTCCCGCCCCTCTCACACCCCGATCTGGTGAGGACGGTAATGTGGCCGATGCCAATATTCCTGAAGAGATCAGGGATATCATTGAGAGCGGTGGCGTTGACCCTCGAGAATGGGTTGCTGAGTGGCTTGAGGAGCTTCTCAACCTTTCTATCGGAACAGTTGCTCAACGATATGTTGCTCGCCGCATGGGCGTCGGTGAGGGTGGCCTGGGCAGGGGCAAGAGAAGGATGGAAGATCTCGTGCAGGACAATGCAGGCGAGGCTGCGCGTGCTGGTGTCATCTAAACGGTGTGGAGGAAAAACGGTAAAGTATGTTGTATGACGAGGTAGGTTGGGCGTTGGAGTTTGCGACGGGTAAATGTAACCTTCGGAAGCTTAAATGGGCTTGGAAATATCTGAATACTGGGTTCTCCTTTTATCACACAGGGCTAGGATCGCTTTGGAATCTACACTGTCATTAATATCAAGCTGGACTTTGAACATCGACTAGCTCGACTATGCTATACCCACTCCTAAAGCCTGACCGCAGAATTCTATCCATGTTCCGAAGCAAAGTCTATGTATGGCCAACTCGATGAACTGTTCCAGCCTTCCTCAGCTCACCCCTAGCCTCTCTGGTGGCACCCTCCAGATCAACCTTCTTCAACGGCCGGTAGACGGGATTCCACATCTGCTCTCTGATCCACTCCTCCAAATCTTCTTCCTCTTCAGGGATGCCCTCCTGTGTAGCCTCGCCATCCTTGACAGCTGCTTGTATCACATTGCGGGCAATGCGGACACTGACATCCCGCACTGAATCCACGTCTGGGAGGAGAGGGGCCGTCGAGTCTTTAAGAACAGGGCTCAGTGAGGAGACCCCCTCCACAGCAGCTACCAGCATGCGATCTGTCAAGTGCTTGGCACGGGAGAGCACGCAGCCGAGACCGATGCCTGGGAAGACAACTGAGTTATTGCATTCGCCGACGTTGATGGTGATTTCAGAACCATCTTTGCCCCATGGGCCCTTGACGGGTGGGAAGGGTGAGCCTGTGGCTACAAGGGCCTTTCCATTTGTCCATTTGAGGATATCTTCGGGCTTGGCTTCATGAAGGCGTGTAGGGTTAGAGAGAGGAAGAACAATAGGGCGCTCGTGGTGCTCAGCCATGGCGCGGATGACATCTTCGGTGAAGGCACCAGGCTTGGTAGACGTGCCAACAAGCACGTTAGGTCGAACCTCTTTGATGACAGAGAGGAGATCAGCGTCCTTGTCTTTCCATTCTGAAGCGTCCTTGGTAAAGATCTTTTGGGAATCAGTAACACCTTCAGTTTCTGAGGTGAGCAGACCAGGCTTGTCAATCAGCCTAAAAGGTTAGTCGTGTTCTGTTTCATGGGTGATAGATCTTACCAGATCTGCTTTGCTGCCTCCTCATGGCTCATATTTCCTTCCGTGGCAATGGCATCTCGAACTTGGTCTGCGATACCTAGTCCAGCACTACCAGCTCCAAAGACGACCATTCGAAGGTCCTTGAGCTTTTGTTTGCTGACGTGGAGACCTGACAAGATAGCTGCGAGAGTTACACAGCCTGTTCCTTGGACATCATCGTTGAAGCAAGCAAAGTCTGGACGATACCGGTCAAGAATCTTCCTCGCTGTTAAAACATCAATGTCAGAAAATACCACCAGATTCGGACAACAGGTGCATACCGTTGGACAAACCAAAGTCTTCAAAGTGAATGTAGGCCTTGGGATAGAGCTTCCTGGCAGACTGCACAAATGTGTCGACAAACTTGGCGTACTCTTCACCGCGAACACGCTTCTCTTTCAGACCGAGATATAGCTCATCATCGAGAAGTTCCTGGTTATCTGTGCCGCAGTCAAGGACAACTGGAAGGGTCCTATTGGGATGGACGCCTGCACAGAGAGTGGTGAGGACTAACTTGGCAACGGAGATGAGAATACCGCCAACACCTTGGTCACCAATGCCGAGGATCTCTTCGCCATCTGGGCACGATATTAGTAGCCGTAGATGCGCTGTAGACTATAAACTGACCAGATACGACAATGTAGTCAATATCTTCGGGGTTTCCCCATTGAGCGAGGTTATGATGCACATGATCTGGGTCTCGAATGTTGAGATAGCAACCTTCTGGACGTCTAAAGAGCCGAGAATAGTTCTGAATAGCATCACCTTCAGTCGGTGTATAGACGATGCTCATCATCTCATCGAGATGAAGTTGCAGAAGCTTTACACAGGAATTAGCATTGTGGTGATATCGGAATAATGCACGAGTGATACCTTGTAGTACAGAACCTCATTTTGATCCTTTAGCGAAGTGAGGAAAGTATTCTTGGCTAGATCGTCAGACCTTGACGAATATTGCTCATAGGCACGTTTGCATTGCTGTTCAAGGGTCTGAACACCTTGAGGGAGCAAGCCTGTGAGATTAAACTCTCGACGCTCGTCAGGAGGAAAAGCAGAGCCCTTGTTGAGATATGGTGTGTTCAAGAGCGATGTTCCACTGAGTGCGCAGTTTATAGGACCGGTAGTGCTCAGTGGTAGACCACCAAACTTGGACTTTTTGGAGTCATCTGCCTTTGTGGCATAGTTGTTGGTGAGGTTCAGGTATCGCATAGTGGACGAATATAAGCGGAAGCGATGGACAGGGGATGATCTGGACAGTCTGGACAATCTGAACATGATTATTTACTTGGCAGTCTTGGCCTTTTGATATGTGGTATTAATAGTAGTAGAGTAGCATAGCATAGGTAGCATAGCATAGATAGGCAGATACGGCAGTTGAGATAAAACATCAAGTTCTGGATCCGATATCACAAAGATGACGTCGTTGAGCTCTCACTGGCCTAAATCCACTCTGACGAAAGAATACGAAACCTTGATTGCTTGCTTGCATCTGCACGTGCTAAAGGGCGAAAAACAATAGGGAGGGACTTTGATATCATGAACTTGGATAATATTCCAAGCAGGTAATTACATGATAGTGGCAAATGTACTATATATATATAAACAAGAGAAAAAGAATGTCGGTGCTCCTGGAGCCTCGCCCGTGTAGAAATTGAGACAATGTTATTCACCAAAAGGTGACCAACAAAGACGAGACGGACGCGGACTATGATGGCCCTTGTTGTTCTAGCAACTACGACAATTGAAAAGAAGCACACAACGAATTGTGAGTCCGTTTTATAGTCGTTAAATCATCCTTCAGACTACTTCGTACGGATAGTACAAAACGCACCGTCCGTAGAAGACCCTCCGTAAGGAAGACTCGTGGGAAGATTGAGTGACTGAAGGACAAACGCTGCGGATAGAAAATAGAAGTGCATAGGTACCTACCTACCTTGCAACGAGAGGCATGATTAGATCTTGAGATCGCGTCTTGTTGTGTTGCTTGCTCTGAGAGAGAAAGAATTGGAGTGATAGTGAGAGAAGGGGAAGATTATGGTGAAGGAAAATTTGACGCGGTTTTTGGTGGTGGAGTTGAGATGTACGTACCCCACTCACTCACTGTTCGGTTGGCGGGTCAGCCACCAAAAGATGCCGCATCTCAACTTGAATCCTCATTGGCTCATCAACTTACACCAGAACAATCACTACTCGATATCATGTCTCACAGCATAAAACTTAGTGGCTCGCCAAGACTTGTATTATCTGCATCTATATCCGTAAATACAGGAACAATGCACGCCAACTGACTCAGCTATATCTGCTTCGAAGCGTTCTCGTGGTGAGATGGCCTCGTCTCAATCTCTCCATCCTCCACCAACGCCTTCTCAGCCTTCAAAGCGTCAACTTCGAGCTCAATTCCGAGACCAACATCTCGGCGCGCCTCATCCAACATCTTTGCATCCTCTTCACCAGTGTGGCTTCCAAACACTCGATCCATATCCTCGAGAGTAGCACCCTTAGTCTCCGGAAGGCAAAAGTACAGCCAGACCATGCTGCATGCCAAGAAAACGGCAAAGAAGATGTAAGTGCCCCATTCGAGAGTTTCGAACATGGGAGGCACGTAAAAAGCAACAGCAAAATTGTTGAGCTAGAGTCACTGTCAGTTATACTCGGCTCATACCTAAGCGAGACGGGACTACTTACCCAGTTACTAGAAGCACCAATCGAAGAACCCTTGGATCGGATAGAAAGAGGGAAAATCTCAGCAACAAGGGTCCAAGAAACAGGACCCCATGTAGCTCCAAAAGCTCCGACGTAGAGCCAGATAAAAGCCACGGCAACCCAGCCAGCAGCACTATGCGTCTCCCAATCGTGCTGGAACTTGGCGACAATAATACCAGCGAGAACCATAGAGATAAGCATGACGATAGACCCCACATAGAGCATGGGCTTTCGTCCAACCTTGTCGATGATCGCCATGGCAGGTAAAGTGAAGACGAAGAACACAACACCCGTAACTCCTGTCGCCAATAGAGCCTGTGTTCCTCCGGTGAGACCTAGACTCTCAAAGACTTGGCTGGCATAGTAGATGATGGCATCAATGCCGGACCATTGCTGCCAAAACATCACGAGCCAAGCTGTAGCAACACGCTTGAAGTTATCCTTGGTGCGGAAGATCTGATAATACTGAGCAAACTGAGCCATCCAGACACTGCCCTGCTCTTTAGCTGCCAGGTTGGGGAAGTTCTTGGCAAAGGCGCGTTGTTCAAAGAGAGCCTCAGCCTTGATTTCCTTGTATTCTACCTGAATTAGATCGTGCTCGACGGGTAGATTGCGAAGGTAGGATAGTGTTTTAAGAGCCTCCTCATCACGACCCTGCTTGACGAGCCAACGCGGGGAAAATGGCAACCACCAGATTCCGAGAGCGAGGAGAACAGCAGGAATTCCTTGGATTATAGATGGGAGCATCCATGCGAGGTTGCTTTGGCCTTCCCCTGTACCACCGATGTAGTTGCTGCCGTATCCGATCCAGAATGAGAGCATGATACCGAGAATGGTGCAGAATTGGTAGAAGGAGACGAGGAAGCCACGGAGTTCGGGAGAGGATAATTCGGCGTTGTAGAGAGGACTAAAGAGACGTCAGTCAGAAAGTATTGTTAGTATTGGGGAATAATTAGGACTTGCCCAACACCACTGAACGTGCCAACTCCAATACCAGTGAAGAAACGCCCGGCATAGAGCATAGAAGCATTATCCTTTGTTCCACCGATATACAAATAACTACCAAGAATTACCCAACAGCAAGCCATGAACATAGTGTACTTTCGTGAGTAGACTTCACCAAAGACACCAGCGGACAAGGAGCCCAAAATGCCACCGAGCTGAAGGATCGATGTGAGCCAACCAGTGGCTGAGGACGAGTTTACGATAGAGGGGAAGTTTTCCTTGAAGCGATGCATCACTAGGGACTGGCCTAGGACACCTTGTTGGTAGCCATACTCAAAGCCACCGAAGCTGGGGTTGTTAGTGAGAGGGTGAAGATAGGGATGTAGGAGACGAACGAGGCGAAGAGAGCGATGACGATGAGCTTGGGATTCTTGGCGAGCGTCCTCCATCGGTTTTGGTAGGCGAGCTTCGTCCGCTCGTCAACTGTCGACTCCATGATGAAAGAAGCTTGAATTACTCTATTCACCACCGTTTGACAAGTGAAGTAGTTCTTCCAAGCCACGAGGCAAGTATAAGTGTGACAGAACCAAGAGCAGCATCGGGAGAGCGATGGCCCTTATATAACGAACCACACACAATATCTCCATTATCGACAATTCCATTGCCATTCCGAGCCATCAACTGCATGGATCTCAATATTAAAAGCTCCCCGCAACTAACACCTCATGCCAATCCGGGGACCCCAGATACGACATGAAAAAAGATACAAGTGACGATGTATCTTTATGGAGTAGGTAGCACTGCTAGGGTAGGGTCGGTGAGACTCCGGCGATGGGTGCGTGGGATGTCCATATTGGGAAAGACTTCTGTATATGGCAATATCAAGCACTTTACAATTATAGCCTCATCTTTCCTGATGAGAGAGTATATTAGGAGCACGATATTATTATAATTGATTCACTACTTACGCAAGCTACTAGACGGTTAGGTCGAGCATCAATACAGTCAGCAAGTCAGGCAGTCATGCAAGTCGAAGTATTACCATATAAGAATCCACAAAATAAGAACAATCGTATTGTAATCCATACAAGATCCGTTTTCTTACTTGAGATGTTACATTGCAAAAGGCAATACCACATCGACCTGTCGGAGTACCCCGACTTACACGGATGTTTTAGTGGGCAGGAGTTGGCCAAGCATTAAAGAAATCACGGGCTGTTGCCAAGTTTTCTACCAAGGAATCAATAGAAAACATGCACTCTTTTAAACGCTCGGGATCATGAAACACATTTCTTCCCCACATGTTGCCCCGGTGTCAGTTTTGGTCCCGGTTTCGGCCCTTACTATGGCGATCCGCTTGTCTTCTCCAACTTCAGCGTATGTTCCTCAACTGACAGTTTATCAAATTCAGGCAAGTCGATTTAAAACCGACAGTCCTTGGCATCGGCAGATGAGCCTTGTTGTATCTTATGAGGCTCAACTGGGAGTATTGTTCCGCAAGTACATGGGTCAGAGCTGGCGCTAGGCAGAAGGATTATCTGGATTAACACTGGGTAGAAACATGAGGTGGGCCAAGCAATTGGAAGTGCTTGTGACTTACATAACTTCCTCTACACGATGAAGAAGAAAAGGGCTTTATCAGTAAATTGAACGCAAACATGTCCATCGAGCATCCCTATACTCTCAAGGAAATTTAATACAAGAAGCCCCCAGCTACGTCCGTTCGATGGAAGTTGCTGTATGGCTCGGCTATGCTACCCTACGTATTTGATGGTGGCTTCGGCGAGTAAGAAAACCCAGAACTTCTATGGCAAGTAACAAGTTTTTTCCCCCATAGATTTGGGTTAGACTTACGGGGCTTCAAACCAGTTATTTTTATGACTTCGAATAAAGGTCCTGAAGTCTCTAAAGATGCGCTTATTTCTGACTGACTTTCGTCTTAATTACATCCCCAGATTTCGCTAAAAATGCCCGAAGCGTGCTCGTCAGGTCCGTGGCGGCAAGGGGCTGCAATAAAACCTAGGACTCTATCTTAGGTAGGTGACAAAAAGCCTTAGGTAAACTTAGATAAGCTTAGCATAATTTAGTATAGATTCAGAGGATCTTAACTAAATATTTTTATCAGCTCAATTTAACGACAGAAATCTTCTTTTACCCCAAGGGCGGTTAAAAATGCCTCTTTTGAGTTCGGGGTTACTGAGCTAAAATCCTCCGGAAATAAACTTCTGTTGGGTATCATACCTAGTAGAAGACAGAGCCTACCCACCTTAGACTACCTGGTAGGCGCAAGAAAAGCCTCCATCATATTAATAAGATTCTGGAAGCACCTAATCTGAGGTTGGTTTATTGAATCTAGGTATGTTAAGCTTGCTCGACTCTTCCCATCATTCAGATGCCTCCTTTAGCCTAAGCATACTATCATGGGCGTGTTGTAGTGTGAAATACGTGAGCTGCTTCATATTTTGTGCCACAGCAATACGCAAATACTCTCGCCGATCTTTGCTGTCCAGTCCAATGCTGACGATTGGACACCCGCCGCCGTACTTGATGAGGAGAGTGTTAAGAATAAGACGGCACATCCTGCCGTTGCCGTCTCCAAATGGATGGATGTTAACAAACTTGTGGCAGTACTTACTTGCAAGCGCTACCGGGTCGATTTGTCCTTTCTCCGTAGCCTTCTTGATGTCGGACTCTAGTTCCTCTATCATGTCGCGCATCGCGATCCGGACTTTGCTGTGGTCCATGAAGACGTGGGAACCACACTGGACATTCCATAATCGATACTGTCCACTGTATTCGTTCCAGGGGATATGCTTGCTGATTTCGATTTTGTATGTCAGGTCTCCATGAGCTTGCGTGATGATATGCTCAGATAAGTCCTTGTTGTTGATACAGACTTGCTCGATCATGAACCTGGCAGCCTTGGCATGTTGAACGATTTCTCGGTAACTTTGAAGGATGTCGGCATGTTTGCAAGGTAGGTCCTTATTGTAGAGATAGAGATCGAGTTCTTCGTAATCTGGGTCGTGTTCGCTAATCTCTTCGGGTGGTTCTTTGCCTCGAAAGACATCTTTGCAGAGCTTTAGTGTGATATCGAGACCTCCGCCCACATTCTCGATCATATTGGACCCATAGACCATGCGAGCGAGTTCAACTATGATATGTTCGTCAATATCAGCGTTGTCTTCATCTGTGATGTGCCTGCGTATTTCCTGGCGAAGCTCTTTAGGGCTCTTTTGCAAGACGTCAAACTCGTAAGCGTCGTCGTCCACGTTAATAGGAAGGCTTGCTTTGCTAAGTAACATCATGCGCCGGATAGATCGTCCAAGATGGTCCACATCCACAATTTCAACATTTGGGTCGTCATTGGGGGCCTCGAGCCTTTGCCGCTTAGGACCGGATGTCTTTGCGGTATGCTTTTTCTCGTTTTCGAGACCGCTTTGTTTCTGACAGGGCATCTTGGTAGAAGAAAGGTTGAAAGTTGGATCAGGGTTGGGGGAAGGGGCCCCCTTTATACCTAAAGTGACTCTAAAGTTATAAAAGTTTACCTAAACTTTACTTTATTAGATATCAACCAAGCTTACCTAAACTTATATAGACTTATTGAATGCTGGGTTTGTGTCCTACTAGCTACAAGCCGAAGGAGGGTACCTATCATTTATCAGGCTACTCGAAACCCAGGGAAGGATCAGGGAACCCTCTATAGAACTAGAAACCAAAGCGCCAAAAAAGACTGATTTAAAGACATTACAAATCTATAATTAATTTGGCTAAGGTTACATTAGCATTACCTAGGACCTTTCTCATTTGGAGTAAAAGCTTTCTTGCTTCCACTAGACCTACTAAAGGTAGACTCATATAATAATGACCAAGTAAGCGACCCCTACCGTAGATCTCGAGTAACTCATGACGTTTTAAAAGATTAATTTTTATAGCTTATAAAACTACCATATGAGTATTATATAAGTATTTGTGCATTGAGAGGAGAAGTCACATATTCAGTTTACTACTGTTGAGGCCTCAAGATCTCGCGATATGTACAGTTGTATTCTCAGATGGCCTATGAACAACGACTTTCGAATCAAAGAGTGTCCTAATATCCTCCAATATCCGCCTTGAAAATCTCATGTATACTCATTGTTCCCAACACTCATCCTCCTCTTGAACCAAGATCTCACAGACATCCGTCGTCTCTTTTGATGATGTCAAAGCGTTTACTGGGCGCTGTTGCCGTTGTTACCGATCCGGTTGGGAGAGCTGCGGAGGTTGCCAGTGATCTTGCCAGAAGTAGCAGTGCTGATGAGCCAGTTGGTGACACCAGAGACGCCAGAGACACCGTTGACAGAGATGCCGTAGAGGACAAGACCAGCAATGTGGGGAGTAGCCATGGAGGTACCGCTGATGGTGTTGGTGGCGCTGTTGCTAGTGTACCAGGCAGAGAGAACGCCGGTACCGGGAGCAAAGATGTCAAGAACGGTACCGTAGTTAGAGTAAGAGGCAATGGCCCAGCGGCTGTCGATAGCACCGACAGTGATAGCGCTGGAAGCGGAGGCTGGAGAGGTGTTGGCAGCATTGGCACCGTCGTTTCCAGCAGCAATCGCAGAGATGATACCAGATGAGGAAGCTGAGTTGACGGCGTTGTTGAAAGAAGCAGAGTAGCCACCACCAAGAGACATGTTCACGACAGAGCGAGCAGTTCGACCCTTGGAGATGATGTCGTTGGCGGCCCAGTTAAAGCCAGCGAGAATGATAGAGGTGCTAGAAGAACTGCCCTGGAAGACCTTGACAGCCTGGATGGTGGCCTTCTTAGAGACACCATAGGTCTTGCCGGCAATGGTGCCAGAGACGTGAGTACCGTGGCCAACAGAATCGGCGTTGTCGCCACTGAAGGCAGTGTAGACGGCCTGAGCACGGCCCTCAAATTCATTGTGGGTGGTTCGAACACCAGTGTCGACGACGTAGGCATAGGTGTTGGTACCAGCGTTAGTATCGTAGATGTAGCTGGTAGATCCACTGGAACGGTGAGAGACCGTGCCGAGTCCCCAGGGGGCGCCACTCTGTGTAGTCAGGGCACGCTTTGCGAGAGTCCCTACCTGTTCTTCCTCCTCCTCAACCCAGTTGATGACCCACTCGCGGTCCTCTTCGACGATGGCAACCTGGACTGGGTATCAGCATTGGATAACTCATTGACATTTAGTGTCACTTACATCAGGGTTCTTCTTGATCTCCTGGATGGTGCTCTTATCGAAAGAGCCAGCATAGCCCTGGAAGCCATACTTTCCCTTGTATGTGCGCTCAACACCATTCTCGGCGCGCTTGTTCAGTCCACGCTTGTGGACTTCCTCAACCCAGCTGAGATGGCTGTCGACATCGGCAGCAGCGATGTCAGACTTGAGGGTGATGATGTACTTGCCAGGAATGATCTTGCTGGAGTCAACCTTGGCAGTAGTAGGAGCGGCGTTGACGAGCCCAAAGAGGGCTGTTGCGGCGAAAGCGAGGTTCTTGAAGTTCACCATTGTGAAGATACAAAGGAGCAGAGGTAGAACAAGAGACGACTGGGGATGCTTGTGTGTGGATGAGACTGAGGGTGATGAGGATGAGAAAGTAAGTTGTTTGAAGGAGGAGGGCGATACGTCTTATATAGATGTCATCTATGTTGCTAGGCGACTGCTTCAATAACAATAACAATATGGATGGCCGATACGGGGTTCGTATGTTGAGTTCATGAAGTCACCTCTGCCAGCCATCCGCAGCCATGATACATGGTAACGTTAGCTATTGTTGTGGTGGCAGAAGTATATCGAACCGTTTGTGGAGAGAGACTTTGCTCTCTGGTGTCCCCTCTGAAGCCAAAGGCCCAACAGCAGGAGATTCCCAGCCCCTACTGACAGAATGCAGGGGTTGTAAGGTGCAAATCTGCAAGTTTCTTGCATCTATTCCCAGACATGATGTCCCATCAAGACACAATCGAAGGGATGATTTTCATCAGCTTCCTCTTGCGGCGACAACCAGAAGATTTACGTAGCGTCTCGCCATCGCCTTCACCAACGCCAGACAAAAAGAGGAAGGCGAGATGTGATGCATCGAGGCGAGAGAAGCGCTGAGAGGCGACTCGGGATAGCGAGAGTGCAAAAGTTCTCGAGAATGCAAGAAGCAGGTCGGTGGGCCTAGTATCAAGGCCAAGAAGGATACATGGGACTTTAATCACAACGGATACCTTGATGATAGAGCACCAGGATATCGTAATGAGTCCCAGTGGACGTCCAGAACACACCCAGCTCTTCTCATAAATTATCAACAACAAAACGTTTACAGAATTCGATTGCATGTGATGAGACAGGGCGTGAGGAATAAGTAGGTTGCCATCGATAACCTTGGCTATGGTTGGGTGTATTCAGGATCTATTCAGTGGAACTCCCTGCCGTCAATCATGATCGACAAGGCACTAATAAAACAACCCTCCAGCAGGTTACTCTTAAAGATCAACCATATAGTCTCGGTCTAGCCTCATATCTCGATGTTGGCAGAGACTGCCGGTATCCAGAATTACTGGAGTCGATACTGGGGAGCGGCCCGGGAGGCAAATACCTTCTAGTCTCTGATTGGAGGCAGGAAACAGGAACATGGCCAGTCGGAATCATGGATCGGCCCGTAGAAGATGCATAAATCCTAGTTTAAGGTGTTTATCGTCAGAGGCTTGGTGAATTGAGAGTCGAAAGAAGTCGAGCGGGAAGTTAGTGAACTGCCTGATAAAGCAACTATGTTTCTCCGCAACTCCAGCATAGCCAAAGCAGGCTAGACGTTGCCCCTTGATGACCTAGCCCTACCGATGACAACAGCCGTGCGGAAGGGTTTCGCACCAAGAGCTATGCTGCAACTCGAATAGAGGTTCTACCTAGTCATAGATGAGCATCAAATCAACTTCCTCTTTGGGACACTATGTCCGAGTAGGTGCGTATCGTTGCCGCCGCTGGCCTCGCATGACAAGACGATGATTCGAGTGCTCACTTTCGTTGGAGGCTGATACAGTGAGGTTAAGCTGTAGGAAAATTACCCTTGCTTAGCCTCATGATTCCATGTTTCGAAGCCCACGGGAGGATGAGAAGGAGGGCAGCGTGATTCGAAGCGAGGGGTTGGAGTGCACTCCTTGCGGAAGTCTGGGATGATCTATATCGATTATCTCAAACATTGCAATGAAGACATCGAGATGACAACGAAACAACGAAAGCCTGAGGATTTGGTGTCTCTGTTGATTCAATCTGTCGTAATCCGCATTCCATCAAGAATGCGTCGGCGAATAGATACCCCAGATATCATGAGCAGTTGTAAAGTTGAGGTTTCCCACTATAAGGCCTGGGTGGGGTTGATACCTTGGAGTAGGTAATAGAGGGGCCGGAGATGCCACGGGCAAGAGGCAAGCTTGAGTGGGGAGATAGATCAACCAATGAGAAATAACGGAAGGAGGAAACGGGTTGTTGGTTCTTTCCTGTCTTACCTGTCTACAGAGATAAAGATTTGTGGCTTGGGCCCAGCAGGCGCATTGACACACCCCAGAAGTCTAACTTACAACAACATGTTCACCATCATCACCATCTTCACCACCATCAGGGCTTCACAATCACTATCTTAGCTTGTTCAAGGGTGAGGCCAAGCCACTTTGACCCCTGGAGAGATATGGAGATTTCAGTGTTCACTACCCGTTAGCGTCTTCCTTCCCGTGTCAGTTTAATTCTAACCATAATTCTATTCTATTCTACCCATCGAAGCCTGATTTAGGGTGCTAATCTCGAATCCCTTTTAGGTATCTGCCCAACCTTGGTCAAGGCCAACCTCAGTATCTAATGAATGGACCCCGCTCTATCTTTGCATCTCATGACCCTTGCTGGTGCATCCGACTAATCAATCAATTAACCCTTATCAGTACCGCATAATGCTATCAGAACAAAAGTACCTGTCATGCCCTTGAATAGTACCTATTCTAATATGTTGCATTAGGTTATCGGCCCCCCAAGACCTACGTATCATTCTTGTTCAATACCGAACAAAACTCCGAATCCAAGCAGCCCAACCCATTCGTGGAAACTATCCGACAACACTCGCACGCCATCCTTTACTGTACAGCACTCGCTTATGGCCAAGGAACTTTTTGACTGGCCTAACGATGTTTTGAGTCAGGAGACGCTGACAACCCTGGTCACTCGCGATAGCTCAGCAAGACCAGCAATTGGCTGCTGCCATCCATTACCTATACCCTGCCCTGCTATGAGCCTTCTCAATACTTGCTCAAGGCATACACAATCATGCTGTTTAGCGAATCTGTTTATTTCTCCGTGACCATGCCGCACGATCGCCACGGCCCGCCGGAATCCTCTTTGCGAAGAGTCACTATTGCCGCGAGGCTCAGGAACAACAACAAGAGCCGAGACTGATCTTACGGCCACCAACCGAAACTGGATCT